GGTTTTATTAGAGAAGATTTAACGATAATATAAGTTACACTTGGTCTTTACATAATAATATAATTTGAATAAATAAGAGTTATGATTCCAATTACCGTCTATCGATGAAAAAAATTGTATGACAGTTTAAAATCCAACATATTTAAACAACTTCACAAATGTGTTCAATTTACACCAAGAGCAAAGAATCAAGAGATCGAGAGCGAGACCGAGAGTTCTAGAGCAATTGAATGGGAAATGAATGAGAAAACTTTTAATAACTCATGGTGAATATCAATTTGAATCTCACATTGGAGGATGAGGAGAAAACATAGACGTATGAGAGGGTGAAGGCATGAGTGAAAGATGTCAAAAGTATCTTGGGGGCATGAAAAGAAAATGTAATAATGTGCATTGGTAACTTGTACTATATGTTATTTTAATTGTAGATTAAGATATTTTAAGACTGAATGCATAAAGTATTATTACTTAATGGATTATGAGTTGTTTTAAAGATTTTTAAGACTTTGTGCATAAATGTATATTACTTTGTGCATTAAAAGTTGTTTTTAAAACTTTTGATAAATCTGGTTTATAAGGTAGTATATATATATATATATATATATATATATATATATATAGGGGCACGTTCAAATGAAAACCGTGCATTTCTAAAAAACCGTGTAAACCAATTTCGAACAATAGGAAAATTCCATTTTTTTCTAATTAAAATTAATCAATAAGGATATTTCAGTTATTTACAATATTTTCTATTAAATATGAAATTTATTAATAAATCTTAATTAAGGAAACGTAATAAAGAAAATTGTATAAATGGTAACATTTAAATATTTAATTATATTATAATATTAAAAATTTGAATTTCAGATATTATAATCTTTAAGAATCAGCAAACGGGTCTTGATAAAACAATTGAAGTGTATAATGAAATCATGAAATCGTAGATGAACAAAAAAAATCAAGAAATGAAACAGGTTTCATGAACGTTAAACTGGTTCATGTTGCAAATAAATTATGTGGACCGAAACATTTTCATGGTGAACCCGTTGCATTGATTGTGTAGTTGATCCATTTAGTTGGTGAAGAGGAAAATGAAACTGGTGCATTTTGTATTTGATGCGTCATGAACTAAGTGTATGATGAAACGAGGAAATGATTTTAATCTGCTACAGAATCTCGAAGATTGTAACCTGCTCCGGAATCATGAAGATTGTAAAGCTTAAATGAATGAATCCATCAAATCAGTGGTGAAATAAGAAAATTACAATACATGAAATAGGTTTCATGAAAGTGAAACTAGTTCATGGCGTTCTTGAGCATGACTAGTGAAATGGTTGCATAATGTATTTGGTTCGTCATGAAATAATTGAATG